CATCATTCGAAGCAGTATGCGCTGTCTGGTTGAGGATGCTGGAGAATGGGTTTGGCTAGGACTGCAGCCGACGATTCGCTGACCTCGCTCGTTGGGTGCATACATGAGCGCGATGAGCAGACGAGAGCTGTCAAGAAGCAAAAGAGCATGTCAGGGAGGCGAGGCCGGTGGTAGACCTGGGAGTGGACACTGGTGAAGGAGCAGTGTCGCCAGCTTCGTTCGCTCATATGTTTGAGCGCTTCAAGGGATTGAGATCCCACAGGACGACTGATCATGCATCAATCGTTGCAGGGTCGCATACAGCGCGCAAACGCTGATCGTATGCATGTGCTGAGACGTCTTGGAGCCCGGCACTTTGAGTGCGTCTGCCACGGCGATGAAAGCAATCGCCTGGCACGCAACAGGAAGAGCTGCGTGGCATCTGTATGGCAGCGTCGAGGCAGCATGAAGCCAGATCGACGCAAGCGCCTGGCGCAATACCGAACAATGCGATCGTCTGGCATAACACTCATCGACTCGAGCATAGGCTGCTCAAAGTGCCTGAGTGTCTTCAGCAGTCACTAAAGTTATACTGCCAGCATTCAACGCATCCACAACGCGTCGTCTGTCGTTGCAATCACGTGTACGATGGAGTCACAGATGTGTCGACTCACCTACAAAGCTCTCGTCACCAGGCGAGATCTGCACGTAGTAATGAGCATACGGCCCTTTTCGGCCGGTCCGCGAGAAAGCAGCACTGAAATGTGCCTGTGATATCACTTGCATTAGTGAGCGCCCATTAGAAAGCGTTGACCAGGGCTGGAACAGGTGGTGTGTAACTCCGCTTCCCGTGCACATACTTTGTAGGGTGTAGGATCAGGCGAGAACCTGACATCTCGATAGATGCGGAAGATCTGACATGCGGTCAGCTAACACACATCCGCTCATCTCACTTCGTAGACATACCACGTCCTTGACAGGTAGTTCTGGGACTGTCTCATCGATCTCAGTCAGACGCTCTGTCAGCTTCTCAACAAAGGAGAACCAATCTCGTTCGGCTTGACGAAAGTCAGGATCATGCACTGTCATCTGTTAGCGCATCGGAGGAATCAATTGTCGTTTGCTGACAGGTATACGATGGACACTTGCACGCGTTTGTGAGGCGTTCACAGCGCGTAGTGACGGTCGCAGGATTGGGAAGCTCTCGACGGCTCGAGGTACTTACTCTTGAGCCATTGCCGCTCGTTGTTCTGTTTCAGCTCCTGGAGAAAGAGGAATGTGTTCGGATGTAGCTGATCATCTTCGTATGGGATCTTGCCTGCACTCCGTGCTTTAGGCTTCTTGATGATGACTTGATTACCAGGACCAAGGCCAGCACTTACACCCTCACGCCAAACATCTGTGGCAGGCGTAGGACCTGACCTCTTTGGTGTAGCCTTCTTCTTTGATCGTGGCTGGTCATCATCGCTATCGTATTCGTCCTCGTCTTCGTCCGTAGGTTCATCGATGCTGGCGTCGTCTTCGAAATCAGATTGCTCGTCGTCTGCTGAAGTCGCAGACGCATTCTCCTCTGGTTGCAGTTCTTCGTCGGCGGTCTTCGTCCGCTTGCTGTGGCCGTTGGATGTGCTCGATATGACCCTCTTATGCTTGACGGCAGAACTCGAGAGTCTCCCAGAAGTACGCACCATTGTGCTCGACCATTGGTAATGAAACTCTCTTTGTTGTGCGCTGTGCCCAAGCGTGATTCACATGAAGCTGCTCACACTGCAAGTCGCTTGTACTGATCTTGATTGTGCTCGGAGCGCGATCAGCTCGTGTCAAGGAAGGTGCTGCTATAGAATGAGATGTCAGAGAGTAGAGTACAATGAGAACCTCAAAGCCCCGCCTCATGATTGGTGCGTCACACTGAACGCGTCTAAGCTTGTGGCGCGTGTCTACAGGTTTGGCATACAACTCAACCTTGACTGCCACACTAATCTCCATTCATGACTGCTTTCGAAGAACGGAAATGCAACATCTTATCATCACTTGCTCGGCCGGCCGACTCATACACAGATGCCTCACCAAAGGGATCCGTTGACGAAGGTATCCGGGAGCTAGTTGACGAGATCAATGGACTGGACGGTTTTGTAACAACAAGCAGTTGTGCCGGGCGGATCGCAGTGTACCAAGAAGGTAGTGCACATACCAAGAGCCCCGAGGACGAACAAGGCGAGCGTACAAGCGCTGGAGGTAAAGGTGGCGGTCGGTGGCTCTATGTCAGCCATGATCCTGTGAAGACGGATGAGCTGAGGAACGATAGGGACGTACTGTTGCTTCTGTCACTGTCGGACAGTCCACACTCGCCCACCTCGACAGAACCACATGATGCGTACGTCCACATCAAGTTTGAGCCTATGGTAAGTCGTAACACCATGTACTGCACATCCTGATCTTTCGAAGATCCTACACGTTCTGTGCTCATCTCTAGATCATGCACGCAAACTCCTTGGCGCAGCATTGTCTTCAGGCTTTCGTGAGAGCGGCATAAGCTCTATAAGCATCGATGACATAGTACTCGTGGCGATCAGAACGAACGGACTGGCCTTCGACAGCATTATTGCCACAGTGGACTTATTGTCCGGCGAGTCCATGCTGCTGGTCACAGAGCAGTACCTTCGCTTGCTTATTGAAATCGGCAATCGGCGGTTTGAGGTCAATCAGACTCGCAAAGAACGATTTCGCACTGCATTCTTGCAAGTCGTCAACGGCACGACTGAGTCAAGGGAACCTGCTGATGTGAGACGTGCTAGGAAGAGAGCTGAGGGTTTGGCTAGACGTCAACAGCTCCGAAGAACAGAAGAGCTGTGGAAGACAGTGAGCTGAGCCATATAGAAAGTGAAGCAGGAGTCAGTGAGATGCTCGACATCAACGGGACACTGGCGTAGTGAACAAATGAGGTATTGATTTGACCTTCGCTCAACTATGTATGCTTGGAGATGTCCTCTGACGATTGAGCCGCGGTTCCTACCTGCTTGATTGTGTTCAAACGACGCTTGATCGTCATGCTGAACACCGTATCAGGCTGTTCTGCTGCAGCGGTGACATGTTCTGCTGGTTTCTGCTTCTTCACGTCCGCATCGCCCTTGGCTTGGTCGTCATTTGAGCCCGACTTGCCCAAATTGCTGCCAAACAAAGCATCTCTGATAGTCTCGTACCATGATTTGTCAACGTTGCCCTGCGTGTTCTTCGCGCTGTCGTTCTTCACGACGTCTGCCAATGCTTCTCCACTGAGCTCCTCACTATAAAGCCACATCGCTCGAAGTTCACCTCTGACAGCCGCCGTTCCCCAAACACTCGATAGGACTGCGGGTACGAGATACAGCAGTGCTGGCTGTGCATGCTGAAAGGTTGACATCACCGCCAAAGTGGCCACCATGCCTGAAGTATAGCCAATGATTGATGCTGTGAAGTATGGCTTAGGGAAGGCTGCATTTCGCAGAGTGGCAGGCAGAGATGTCTTTGGTAGGCCTCTCGTCCAGAACCTGGATCCCCATTGTCCTCTCACTGGCGTATACGGCACCTTCGTGGCATCGCCATTAGCACTTTTCGCTTGTTGGCGTGAGTAGAACATGAAAAGGTCAAACCTCAATGCGAGCCCGACCATCAGGCCTGGAAGGACAATATCTCCCAGACCGAGCATGCTGTATGCTCTTTTGGCCGTGTCTGCATCAGGCCGAGGGAAGAGAAGCTTGATAGGTTGATCCAGCTTGGTCGCTACAGTCACCATCAGCGGTGTGAAGAAGACCGCCCAGATATCGTAGAAGAAGAGACCGCACAGTACAAGTGACCCAATGTCGAATGACGTGGGCGAGATGAGCTGTAGAGCGAAGTAAGAGACTGCAAAGCCTTGCACGTTCGTCAGCCACCAAGGCTTTGCAACGAAGCTATTGTAAGCAACAGCTGCTATACCGACAAGTAGTCCGGTAACGTCAAGCACAGTGAAGTCACTCTTGGCATCAAGGAGTGCTTTGACGTACGCCTCAAGTGTATACTTCTGCTTCAACGCCGATCTGACAGTCCACATAACCTTTGACAGTGGCAGTCGTCCAAGGAATCCAGGTAGTGGTGAGACTCTACTCGAGTCCTGTCCTTTGCTTGTCACCACCTCCCGCTCTTTCACCTCGTACAGTTGTCCAGCAACGGCGAAGTATCTTGGAAAGATAAAGCTTAGACACAGCTCGGCTCCATCGCTGAAGAGCTTCGCTACGCTGAATATGCTTGTGCCCGCAAAGTACCACGCAAGGATCACATTGATGATGTCCGCTCCGTATCGCTTGATCAGCCAGTACAGTGTCGCCAATACCAAGCCGGCTGTGACTGGGAACACAACAGCGTCACTAGCTGAGAGGCCTTCCATCATCTGTATAGCCTCCTCTTCATCTTCGTCTGTCTGCTCGGATTTGGCTGCGGAGGATGGTTGCGAAAGGGAAGAGTGAGCTCCTGTGTAGATAGGGAAGAGCGCTGCAAGTATAATGTGCGTGTAGAGCATGAGTTCGCCGCCATGCTCGCGAAGCCATGCCATAGAAGTCGTTAGCAGCTCTGAGAGCGGCGACATTGTGTAGCAATTATCGTGTTGAACTAATCGCTTGACGCCTTCAATGAGAGAATAGTGTACTTGCGATCGGTGTGCTTCGTTGGGCAACGACCTGTGCTAGTTAAATAGGCAGGGTGTCATCTGCACTCGGTCAATGATGCTGCGATGCACACGTAGTCACTGGACGCATCGAAGTTGTGCTGTGTGGCCTCTTCGCTTCTCAATTCGCGAAGTTCAGCATCGAGTGCGAATTTCAGTCAACTCGACTGATCGTCAACGACGTCGTTGCGCGGCAGTCAATGCTGCACCCTGCAATCTCTTGAAGCTGTTCTGGACACGTTGGAGCTCGAGAAGCGCCTGTGACAGCCCCCTTGCGCTCCTTCGCCCCAGCGAGCGACCGACTGTTGTCGGAACTTGTACCCTGCTGGAAACAACGCTCTTATTCGCTCCTATAGCTCAGTTGGTAGAGCGCGGCACTAGTACCCTGCCAATGCCGAGGTCTACGGTTCAAATCCGTATGGGAGCACGCTTTTTGGGTGTCCCAGCAGTTTTTTGGAACGTTCGGGGTGCGAAGAAGGGTCACCAGGCGTAGAGGTGATTGTTTTTGACTCGATACGAAGGTACCGAGATATCTGATCGATTTCAGGACTGCTGAGCAGTGACAGCTAGTGGTGGACGTGGCTGTGAAGGACTGGAGCCACGAAAGCGTTGTGAGGGGTTCGATGAGGATTAAGATGTGTTCAGACAGATTGTTTTGGTTGCACGGCGGAAGCGTACTGTCTGATCGTACCTGAGACCGCTAGACAGTCTGAGATAATGGTGGGTGCTTCGCCAAAGCAGTAGACTTAAGCAAAAGTGGCGAGGTTGTAGACGTAGGTCACTTGAAGTGTGCTGAGGTGATCGCTGATCTCATGAGAAGCAAGCGTAGCTCTCGCACTCAATCATACCTTCGTCTGCCAAGCAGCGAAAGGTGGTGGTGATTGTGCATCAATGACGCTAGAAAGTGTAAGGTAAAGATGGTTGTGCTTCGCAGAGGCCTTCAGTGTAAGCAAGAGTCGTGAGTTGCAGATGCAAGAAGCGACCAACAGGTGATACTTGTCCTGCTCATGTCAGTAGCAAGCGGTACGGGCGAAGGAGCGCAATCGTTGTAGAGGTCAACGATGTGTATGACATGTCGATGTTGTAATGTTCATTGAGCAGATAGCAGGGCAGTCGCGCATGACTCGCGTGAGCACTAACGTCGCGTCTTCGCGTCGCGTCTTCGAGACCTTGCATCATAGAATATCAACTTATCCTTCACCATCCTACACAGCTCGACAAGCATTGTTCCAGGCTTCCACGGCTCTCCTAGACCATGGAGCTCGATATGTCGGACGTCGATCTTCCTGAGGATTACCTCAGTCCACGTTCGAAGGTGGCTCGCATGCTGGCTGACATTGACGAAGCACCAACACCTTCTCCATCGCCTTTAAAGCAGGCCAGTCTGCGGAACACACCTGACGATAATGCACAGTCACGAGCCGTGACGGATTCACTCACTCGCTCGCGGGGACAGCGATCTTCGCCTGTGACTGTGTCTGATGACGGCTCACCAACGAGACCAATTGGTCGTGCAGCTAGGCGTATGCTCAATCAGGGCCACATCTCTGACGACGAGCTGTACTCCGCCACACCAGCGAAAACGCGCCAGAGTAGACATGTAACACCAGCTCATCTCGCCACAGCATCTGCACGACTCACAGTAGACCGCAGTCCTGGACTCTTTGTCAGTCCTGCTAGGTCTCAAGACAGTGACAACCTGCTCGATAACCCACTCAGCCGGCCGTCACGACTTGCAGAGCTGGTAGCCGCGAAGCGTAACGAGCGTCTGGCAAGGGAGAATGCAACCAAGCGCCGATCGGCCAGCGCTTCGACGTCACCAGCGCGAGTGTCTTCCGACCTGCCCGATGAGATCGTAGAAGACGCTGCGGACTCTGCACGAGACGCGAATCTTGAAAAGATCTTGAGCGATGCTGCTCGACCAACACGAAAGGCCAGCAAGAAAGCAATGCGCGACATGGAGCGCGAAACACAACGTCTCGCTCGAGAGCAGGCATTGGCTCATCAGATGAAGACCAAGAAGAAGTTCACCAACACTGATCTTTTCGCACGACTTAACTTTCGACAAGCTGCCAATCAGCAAGACACCAATGCTCCATCTTCGTCCGCGCCAAACAGTGATGGCGTGGAGGCTGAGGAAAGAGCTCCAAGAGAACCGCTCTCAACTCCACCAAGTAGTCCACCTACACCGTGGGACACACAGAAAGCCCTTGTAGAACGAGGAGCTCTTGCACGAATGGTACCAGTGCGAGAGGACAGCATTTCAAGCCTTACGAATATGCCGCTCGACGACGACAATGATGAATTTCCGGAAGCTCACGACCTTATGAGGTCTTCTCAGCATTTTAGAGCTACCCAGCAACCCGCACAAGTAAGCCCTTCAAAGGCGCACACATCCCGCATGCGTGCCAAGTTGAGGCAATTGAAGGCCCAGCAAGAAGACAGTGACGAGGAGATCGATATCATCCAGCCTATGCCTGCACATCTGAAGGTCTTCGATCGTGTCAAGCCCGTCAGCAAGCGCGGTGAGGTTCGTTCCAAGGCTATCCATGCACTCAAGCATCTCGCACATCTCACACACGACACTGCAACAGCCCGTGGTAAGAAAGCTCTGAAGCCTGTGGTAGCCACGACCACAGTCAACGCACAACTCATTGCAACAGCCAAGGCACAAGCCCGTCAAGCTCAACAAGAACGTCTAGCTGAACTGCAGGCGAAAGGCATAGTCGTCATGAGTGCGGAAGAGCAAGAGAAAGAGCATGATCAGTTTGAGAATCTTCTGGAGAAAGCACGACAAGAAGCTGAAGATCTCCGCAAGCAAGAGAAAGCTGCTCGGCGCAAGCAAGGCGATGAGAGCAAGATCCTTGCTAGCGACGATGAGTCTGAAGACGAAGATTGGCATGAGAGTGGCTCTGAGGATGAAGAAGCGGATGTCGAGAATGAGATGATTGATGAAGCTGCTGAAGAGTCTGCCTCCGACGAAGAGTCAGTACACGACGATGGCGATGACGAGCTCGCCCTCGATGGTACTACAGCGCCGCTGGAGACTCCTGCTGGACCAAAGGCAACTCGCAAGCCTCGCATTATCCTCGAGGATGACGAAGATGATGATGCTGATCCTTCTGCATCCAATACTGTCTCTGCACCGCAAGAAGACGATCCCTTCGCAGCATTTGGCTTCGATGCTATGGACGGTCCAGATCTGATGTCGCCAACACAAGCTTTTGCAGCAACGATGCAGACGCCTACGCAGTGGACGCAAGGTGCTCATGCAGCTCGATTTCACTCAACATTTGAGCAGCCCCCTCGGCCAACCTTTGGACAAGTCACAAGTCAGGATTTCTTAGACGACACCGCAAGCCAGCTTGTCCCAGCTTCACAACTACAAGAGCACACACAAGCCATCAATCTTGACTGGGAGACTCAGTTACCGGAGACGCCAATCACTGAGGCAAAGTCTGCCAACATGATGGAGACCCCCGGTTGGGAACCTAGTCAAGATGCTGGACTCCCAAGCCCATGGACAGCCGCTCGACGTGGAAACTTGTACATTCCGCATGATGAGGAGCACGAAACCCAAAGCACGGTCCCTGTACGAATCAGTGAGAGCCCAGAGGCGGACGCGCCACGCAATCGAGGTCGATTGACAAGAGGTTTCCGAATTGTTGATAGCGATGATGAAGAAATCGCCGCGCCAGTTAAGAAGAGCAAGAATGCCTTCAACGAGATGCAACAACGACGTATGCAGACTATGAACGCTACAGATCGTGCTGCCGCTGAGAAAGAGATGAGGGACATGATGGACGACCAGGCCGAAGAATCTGAGGACGAATATGCCGGTCTAGGTGGTGATGACTCCAACATGATCGCTCACGAGAACGAAGAGGACCGAGCTGCAATTGACGACTCCAATATTGAGATCAACGAACGGGACATGCAGAAGTTCTATGCCGATCGCCAAAGAGCGGCCGATGAGGAAGCTACCAGTAAGCTCTTCAAGGATATCACCACCGGCGCTCTCAGACGGCGACAAGGAGTAGGCTGGGAGCTCGACGAAGATGAGGACGAGCTTGCAGCCAGACGCCGCCAGATTAGACAGCGAGAAGAGGCTAGAAAGCGTAGACTATTGCTGCAGGACGACAACGTGAAAGGCTTACTTGAAGGAAGAGGCAACAGCAAAGGCCGAGAAGCTTTCCTTCGAACCATCGGCGATGATGACAACCAGGACGACTTCCTCGAGACTATGGTGCCAGCTGTCGAGGAGAGCCAACAAGGTTCACAGCCAGCCGATGGCGCACTACGAGAGATTAGCAACAACAAACGACCACTCGAACTATCACAAGCAGACTTGCCTCAAGCAAAGATCCGACGAACTCGCGAGGACGAGGGTGCATTCAGCCGTCCTACCTCCATGCTGCAAGTTCGGCAATCTCTGAGCTTCCTTCTGGACGAGCCACACTCCATCATCGAGCCGGAGCTTCCACAAGAGGAAACCACATTTGACAGCCAATATGACGACGATGACCCTGTCGGGAAAGAGTCGTTCCGCGACAACGACGGCGGCTACGCACCCGATCTTGTGCGTATACAGTCTCAGGAGATGCCACCACCTCCGCTACCGACAGATCGCCTACCAGCAGCACAGCGTAGAACGCCTGCTAAGCCAGCAGTCATCGATCGTTTAAGCCTAAGACGTGGCAGCAGCTCCTCGAGCTCGACAAGCAGCATGGGATGGAGTGCTTGGTCAACTGGCACCACAGCCACAAGCAAAGCTCCTTCACTTCTACGAAGAGCCACAAGCAATCTGTCTGCAAGCAGCAACACGAATGAACGTGGTGTCAGCTACAGTAATGCAAATGCAAACGACAGAGGTGTTTCCATTGGTAGCGCAAGGACGGGAGGTAGCAAGAAGTCATCTCTTGCGTACCAGTCAAGAGCTCAAGAAAGAAAGGCGATAGGTCAACGAGCAGAGAAGAAGAAAGAGGAGAATAGGCGTAAGGTAGCCGAGATCAGACGCCAGCAAGGTGGAGCACTCGTCAATGGCATCAAGAGCGGGCAATGGGAATAATGGCGGATGTGCCACTCGAGACACATCATGACTAGTGGAGAGTACAAGTGAATAGCATTCATACTGAGCGCTCGCTCGTCGTCGTTACTTTCCTTCGATTTGACTCCATGATCACAATCCTCTGACCACCCGTCAAGTCCGTCACAGTATTGCTCGGCTATGGATTCGTCAGCCATCGAAGACAGCAATCTTGACTTCCCAGGGATTCCCGCATTTCCAACGGACGTGTCAACAGTACCACTGTTACGCATTAATCTACACAAGCTTATTCACAACGATGCCGACGAGCTCGAAAGGGTCTGGGAGGCCTGCAGGACTATCGGCTTCTTCTATCTCGATCTACGTACAGTAGAAAGCAG